CTGGTTTGCCACATGCCACCTTGCTGCGAAATGTTCATTCTAAGCAAACTCCAGAGGTCTTGAGTTTAATTCCCAGCAAACACATGTTGGTTCATCTGTAATGAGATCTGGTGCCCTCTCTGGAGTACAGGCATATATGCAGGCAGAACACTGTATACATAATAAATACATATTTTAAGAAAAGGAAATAATGGCAGCTTATCATGTGAGTTAAAATAGTAACCTAGAGTAGCCTTTCAAATCTAATGTGACATGAAATGAGATAAAAATCAGTCATCAAATCAGACAAATACCTGACTTTACCTGTAAACATGCATAAAAGCAAATCTGAAACACAAAGTGCTTGCATCTTCTAAGGCTAATACAAGCTGCAAATCCCTGATTGAAATGCCTGGGAACAGATGTTTCAAATCTTTGCTTTTTTTCACAATTTAGGATATTTGCATACATAAGAATTTTTATTGTTTTTATTTGGCTGGCCTGGTACACTCTAGATAGACCAAGCTGGCCTTAAATTCAGAGATTTGTCTCACCCAGCCTCCTCAGCCACCTAAATGCTGGGATTAAAAGCAAGCAAGCCACAGCAAGGTTTCTTGGGAATGGCATCCAAACCTGAACATAAATTGTACTTATGCTAAGAATATACGCAGCCTGAAAATATCTTAATACAGTAATTTTAGTGAATCTGCATCTTGACAACCACCCAGCTAGATGATGTCAGGGTGGAATTTTCCATTTGTGGTATTACATTAGAGCTTCAAAAGATTTATTTGGAATCCTCTTTTTTTGGGGGGGGGGGGGGGGGGGGGGTTGTCGAGACACGATTTCTCTGTGTAGCCCTGGCTGTCCTGGAACTCCTTATGTAGATCAGGCTGGCCATAACTCAAAGAGAACTTTCTCTCTGCCTTTCCAGTGCTGGGATTAGAAGGTATGCACCCTCACACCCAGTGACTGAAGTTGAGTGTGAATTGGGAAGATGGGTGCCAAAATGAATCACTCTACCCAGGAGAGGCCGCAGGTTCTGACTTAAATGTCTAATTGGAGTTCCAAGTAGTTTGTGGTGGATTTTGCTCTCTCAGTGGTCCTGTGGCCGCCAGCATATTTTGAGAGCTAGTTATTTCCATTTTGTATTGTCATTGAGAATATTTCATACTTGCCCATTAATAAGGTCAGTTGAGTATAGCTAAGTGTGTGCAGAGCTATCCTGCAAGTTCCCACCCGCCTACTTCAGAAGTATCACTATTATCAAAGATAGCACAGTCTGTTTAACAAAATAACACCCTTTATTTACATTTTCACTGGAATTGTGAATTTCTTGAGTAGTGGATTCATAAGTAGCTAGAATTCTAAGAGTTTCTGTGTCTTATAGTTATGCTAACTTTCCTCCTCTGTAGGCCTTAAAGGTGTATACTGGGAGGTGTTCTTTTAGAATTATATCAGTGCAGGGTGGTGACTTTAGGACCATTATTGATAGAAGCAATAATAGCAGGTGAAATCTTGATTTAGGTTAAACCTTGAAGAGACTTGTAGCCAAAATTTAAAAACTCAAATTAGAAGTAACTTTGACTATCTGTGGACACAAAACATTTGATGTCCTTCATCTTTGACTTATATTTAGTGTTGAAGATTTAAGAACCCAATAAAAAGGTACCAAATGCTGTATAATATTGGTATGTCAAGGACTTTGAGTGCAGGGAACTTGTTACTTTTAAATAGTGTTGTGTTTTCAATGTCCCTTGATATTGGCATTGCTTTCTATCAGTTAAACTCATATTAATCCACAAGTATTAAAAATAACTTTAGTAAAGACCTTTACTTCTTTCTCTGTTAGAAATGGCAGATTCTGTGTAATTCTCTAGCATTGAGAGTTGTTATTTTAAAGAACTCTAGTTTGGTTACCCTGTGGTGTTGGTGGTGGTTCACACCATTAATCCCAGCATGGTGTGTGTATATGTGTTGTATTTGCAGGCCACCTCTGAGTTTGAGGCCAGCCTGGTCTACAGAGTTTCAGGACAACCAGGGCTATACAGAAAATCCTTATCTTGGGGGTGGCGAAGGGGGACATATAACAAAAACAAACCTATAGGGTTTTTTTTTTTTTCATAAAAAAGCCTTTCTAATGATGACAATGTAAGAAAAAATTTCTTGATAACTAGTATCTAATTTTTTGTGCTGGAACGTAACAAAGGAATTATGATCTAGCAAGCTTTATAGGGATTCCAGCCCTCTTTGACTAGTCTTGGGCTGCTTTGCCTTTTGAGTTATTCCATCTCATTTTTGCCTCCCACCCCTTCTTTTTTTGCTGGCAATTTCTGCATTTCTGTGCTTTGAGTGTGTAAGCAGACTTTTATCACATAATTGGCACACAACTCATATGGACTTGGTAATAAATCAATGCGTTGTGCTAGAATTAGTTTATTTGAAAAGAGGAGCCAACTCTGCAGCCATTTGTGCTTCCCAAAAGCTTTTTTGTTTTCTTCACAGTAAGCCTAGAAATTATGAATAGAAACATGTATTTTGATATTTAAACAACTTTCTAAGCATGTTTAAAAATTATCTTATATTGCAGAACATTCCCCCTACCATTTCTCTTTATTAAAACATGATTATCAATTTGAGGTTTTGTACTTGATTTGAAAATCCTAAACTATAATTTAAATTTGCTCACATTAGATTTAGTCTTGAAAAACTCTGCCATAGCTGTGAGAGTTGTATTCCCTAAAGTAGTGGTCATAGGACCAATGTTTCAAGTGCTTTTTTTTTTTCTTAATTCCTATTATCCCTAGCCTAAAACTATTTAATTTAGCTGGGCTGTGGTGGTGTACTGCCTTTAAACCCAGCTCTCAGGAGGCAGAGGCAAGCAGATTTCTGTGAGTTAAAGGCCAGCCTGGTCTACAAAGTGAGTTCCAGGACAGCCAGGGCTACACAGAAGTACCTTGCCTCAAAAAAAGAAATTAGGAAAAAAAGAAGGGGAGAAAGAGGGGAAGGGGAGAAATAAAATCAAATCATTTAAAATAAGTAAGTGACTTTCGAGATAAGCAATGGAGCCTATTTGACAGTCTACCCCTGGGCAGGTACACGTCTATTGAGCCTTAAGCAGGACTTTTTTGTTTGTTTGGTTGACTGGCCTCAAACTCACAGAGATCCGCCTGCCCCTGACTCCTGAGTGCTGGATTAAAGGCGCACACCACCACTGCCCCATGAGCAGGACATTTTGGCCTTGCCTTTAATACCAATACCCAGGAGGCAGGGATAGACAGAGCTCTGAGTTCCAGGCATTCAAGGCTACATAGTGAGACCTTGTCCAAAATAAAATAACCTTCTTTAGCAAGCTTCACTAATCACTATAAAGAGAAAAATAAGCTTTTCCTAAAAGTAAAAAAAAAAAAAGTGATATAAAAATCTTGAAGGTTTTCTCTAAAACAGTTATTTCAGTTATTTCAGAGTATTTTATCTAAAAAAATTTTTTTGATCAAAAGATTAAATGCATTTCAACAAATTTGAAAGCCGTGGCTTTTATTAAATGACTCAGGCATTTGTTTGGGATGCATGAAATAACCCAGTCATAATTTCACACACATCCAAAGTGATAGTCAAAATGATTGGTTCTCTCTGCCATTTCTTTTGGCAAATGGTCCGCTCTTTTCTTAAACAAGTCAAGAAAAAAAAAAAAAACACAAGATACAGACATTTGTCTACGTTTTTTGCAGATCATCTAAACAACTCAAAGTAGGCAGATATCCACAAAGATAAATACACTACAGCACTAGGTACTGACTTATATTTATATATTGTCAATACATTCACGCTGCACAGTTACCTTCTAACCTGCCTGCAATGTAGTACAGAGAAATTAGCCTCCCCTCCCCAATCCATTTCTTAAAGGAAAACACTAAGAAACTGGTAGCACGCAATAAACCACACAAAAGGGAAACACGGCATGGGCCCGGGGTGAAAGTACTTAATAGACAATTCATTTCCCAGTCTACTGAGAAGATGAGAGGACGGCAAAGGAATACGTAAGGGTTTCTTTCTTTCTTTCTTATTTTAAGAAACTCGTTTCATTATTTTCTCTAGAAACTTCAGTTGTCCAGACTAGGACAATTACCGACCAATGATATCCTTCTGCATGGCCTTCCCAGCCCCTTTTGCTGGCCACTTAGGAAATGCAAGCGCCAGCTGCGACTCCCTCCCGCTCCGTGCAGGGCTTGCCTGCTTCCAATCGGGAGAGGTCATCCACCCAAAAGGGAAGTGGAAGGAAGGCGCACAGGCTGTTTTCCCTTTCCTCTTCCTTCCTGCAGAAGGACGAAGCTGTTTCTCTCCAGCTGTCCGGCGATTCTGTCCTCAACTTCCCAATGGGCTAGCTTCCCAGACACCCGTCCCAAGCTCCACATCCTGGTTTTTCCTAACACTCGGGCGCCTTCAAATCAGTGCATCCCAACAAGCCATGACCTCCCTCCCCAGACACAAGACGGATTGGGGGGTGGGGGGGATGGACGGTCCCCAAGGGAGTGCAGACACCGGCTGTTAGGGCGCGGGCGGAGCTAGCTCAGTGTCCACCGAAGGGACCCGCCCTCTGCCCCGGACCCGGTAGAGGCCGAACGGACACGTCTCCCCGCCGTCCACCGCAGCTCACCGTCAGGCCGGTGCCCAGCACGATCACATCGTATTCCTCATTCATGGCGGGGGAAGGAGCGCACGCAGGGGCTCTGGGCCACCGTAGAGAAAGAAATGAGAAGTCTGGCCGCTCTGGGCCCCGGGGAAAAGGAAAGACTCGAGGAGAGGAAAAGCGAAGCTGACTAGGAGGCGAGGCCGGGCGCCACCTCAACGGGAAGAGAAGAGCCGGGCGGGGAGGGAGGGGAGGCGGGGAGAGCGCGGGGAGCGCAGAGCGAGCGCCGCAGTCAGGGAGGGGCGTGCGAGAGGCCGGCGGGGCCGTCAGTCGCGCACGGCCTGCTCTCTCATTGGTGCATTTCCTGCTCGTCCCACCTTCCCCTCTCCGCTCCTCTCGCGAGAGAAGGACGGAAAGCTGCCATCTTGGCTTCCGGTGTTTCCACCCGTCTTGTGGCACAGTGGTTTGGGCGGCGACACGCGAGGCCTGGGCTATAGTTGAATGGGAGGAACAGGGCGGAAACTGCGGCTGGGCGACCACGTGCCTGACTCCCGCGGTGTGGCTCTCTCGTCCTCAGTCCCAGGAGCCCGAACTCCGCCCTGGGGATCTGGAGTGGGATGTGCACCGGCTGATGCGTTTGAGGGGCCAAGTCGTGAGAGCATCATCTTCTTGGAAGGTTGGCAGCCGTGTTGCCTCTGCAGCTTGGCTCCTGCCCCTGCCCGCAGGGCGGGGAAGAGCTTAGGATTCCTGCGTACCCTGTTTTAAAATTGGGTGGTTCTGTTCGAACAAATCTCTTCTAAACTGGTATCCATACTTTATAGGTAAAATTGGGTCCAGAATGACCTTCCGATATAACGGTCTGCACTCTAGCTTGAGATGCAAAGCAGGTTATGAAGTATATACCGTGATAACCAAGCAACTGGACTCAGCCCAGGCTGAAGGCTGCTAAAGTGTGCCCATAAAAGAATTGCACTGTTGAGGTAATTTTGTATGTTTACTCTGTTTCTATCCCTAATTACAGTTCACCACACTGGAGGGGGCGTTCTGAACCATCATTGGGATGCTACTTGGTTCTAGATTCTGTTCTTCGTTAAACTTTGTTAAATTTTATAATTTGAGAGTTTTTGACAGGCAGAGCTGTCAGAATCCAAAGTACACCTTCCACTACTCCCCAGTAAAGCAATCCCCTGGATTTCAAGCTCCACTGGTTTTGAAACCACCATACTTATTCTCAGCCAACATTTATTTTATTTATTTATTTATTTATTTGGTTTTTCAAGACAGGGTTTCTCTGTGTAACAACTCTGGCTGTCCTGGAACTAGCTCTGTAGGCCAGGCTGGCTTCAAACTCGGAGATCCATCTGCCTCTGCCTCCCGATTGCTGAGATTAAAGGCTAAAGGCGTGCGCCACCACCAGGCTTCAGCCAACTTTCTTTTTTTTTTTTTTTAAAGATTTATTTATTATGTATACAACATTCCTTCTATGTATGCTCACACGCCAGAAGAGGGCACCAGATCTCATTACAGATGGTTGTGAGCCACCATGTGGTTGTTGGGAATTGAACTCAGGACCTTTGGAAGAGCAGTCAGTGTTCTTAACCTCTGAGCCATCTCTCCAGGCTTCAGCCACCTTTCATCATCCTTCCCTCACCCTCACGTTTTACTAAATGAGTCAGTTAAGTAGTCTCATCTGTTGGCCAGGTTAGTATCAGAACTATGTTAAGAGTCATACTGGGGATTGGGGACGTAGCTCAGTGGTAGAGCGCTTGCCTAGCAAGCCCAAGGCCCTGGGTTCAGTCTTCAGCTCTGGGAAAGAAAAAGAAAAGTCATATTGGAATGTACAGTTAAGAGGATTGGGGATCGATTTAATGGCCTTGAGCAAATACTTTTGTTTGTTTCAAGTCAAGGTGTCTCTGTAGCTTTGGAGCCTGTCCTGGAACTAGCTCTTGTAGACCAGGCTGGCCTCAAACTCATAGAGATCCACCTGCCTCTGCCTCCTGAGGGCTGAGATTAAAAGCATATGCCACCACTGCCTGATCAAACAGATACTTTTTTAAACTTTTTATTTGAGATTTACAAAAGCTCTTTCTAATTCAAGAAGTCCAGGACTCTACTTTCTTGTACTCCAACTAAAGTTCCTGTATTAAAATCATGAGCCCAGACTATATATAATTTGGAAGGACATAGTTAATCTAAACAAACATCTTGGAAAAGAAATAACCACAATAGAAAAGGTTTTAGGTTGGAGAGAATTGTTTTCAAAGCATACTTGGGGGGTAAAGAAACAAAAAATGGTCATCAACAACCCTGAAAAATGGAAGGGATGTAGCTCAGTAGAGCAGTTCCTAGCATGCTCAAAGCCCTAGCCTGGTTGGTTGGAATGCCAGTTTCATGCCTAGCACCACAAAAAAGAATTCTTTTAAGGTTCCCTGCCTAAGCAATGTTAGGTTTTTAGTTTGTATGTAGAAGGATCTAAATAAATCAGAAGCTGTGAGCTGATAAGGCATGTAAAAGCGCTTGCTGCAAAGGCGTGACAATCGGACTTCACTCCCCAGAAGCCACGAAGGTGGAAGGAAAGAACTCCCCGTTGTCGCCTGGCCTCCACTCACCCACATGTGCAGGGTCACACGCATGTGCTTGCCATAGTAACAAGTACAAGTGGAAAGGAGAATCAGAAGTTGCCTCCTTAAAGTTTTCTTTGGAAAGAAAAAGTCTGAGCAGCAAACTCAGGACTGTACTTTAAACCTTGACCATTCCCTTTATCTAAATACTCTGATTCTACTAAACCCTTTGCACAGTTGTCTTTTCCCCTTGAAGACAGGCAGGTATGCCTTATAGGATAAAACTGACCAACCAAGCCTGCATGCATAGCAGCTTTCCTCCATGCTATGAGGCAGAGTGCTCAGTCATCAGAGGAGAATTTCAAAATCTAAAAGAAAACCTTCAAAACTACTGAGTATTGCTAAAATTCTTTCCCAAGAGAAGCTGTAAACACCTACCAACTCCTGTGAGTCCTAAGGGCAAACCAAAGTGTAATTCCACCATAGTTTGCTCTGATGAATCATTGAGCTTATTAGGCTTTCCCTTCAGAGAAGTGAGTGAGGGGTTTGGGGAACACTGGAAAGTTGACACCCAGCTTAAAGACCACAAACCCCCACACTTTATAGTGTAGATATTAAAAAAAAAAAACTTTATAGTGTAGATAGCGTCCCTTCCCCTCATCCTTCTCCACCTATATACCCTAGCCCTTCTCAGAAGACACCCCTCTTGCCCTCCCCTACCTGCCCCTCATGTGCAATTAGGGCAAAATTGCATACATCTGGATGGGAAGGGTAGCTGGATATTCAGATGAAGGTCCCACAGCCCTCCCCACCTCCTTCCTCCCTCCAAGAGGAAATGCCAGCAGTCAGCAAGCCCACCTGTGATGATCTCTGGCAAGCAGGCCCAGCTGAACTGAAGATGGTGGCAGTTTAGCTTGGCGAATGCTTCTATACAACAGTAGTTTAGATCTGTCTGCCTCGGAAGGGTTGTTTTAGCTTTAACTTAAAGTCTCCAGCAGTTGTATAGTTTTAAGTGTCTGGAGGAGCCCTTGTGAGTTGAGAGATTTGAACACAAAATTTAAGGCCCTGAGACTCTGCTCCAGTGCATAAGAAAGTGGTGTTGAGGATTGAGGGGTGGTTCAATTGGTTAATTGGTGAGTTAATCCCCAGAGAACGCATCAAAAGTCTCATGTGGTATCTTGGGTTTATAATTCCAGCAGTGGAGAGGTGGAGGTGAGCAGGTCCCTGGGGCTCACTGGCTAACCTGTCTACTTGAATCCGTAAGCCCGAGGTCCCAGTGAGACTGTGTCTTGGAGAATAAGATCGCTCCTGACGAATGGCAATTGAGGTTGAACTCTGGCTCCCACAGGCACATTCTGTAAATGCAGTCACCTACATGAACACACACGTACACAGAACCTGGAATCAGGCTGTTCGTGGTGATTAGTACCTATAATCCTAGCATTCCTTAGGTGGAGGCAAGAAGATTAGGAGTTAAAGGTCATCTGCTACATAGCAAGATCCAGGCCAACCTGGGCTACATGAGTCTCTGTCTTTAAAAAGAACTTGGCAGGTTTCTTCCCAATCAGAAATGTAGCCTTTCTCTGATATTTCCTGAAGACCTGGCAAATTCTAAAAATCTTTTACCTGATGAAAATACTCTGGCCTAATGCACTAAAACCTGACAATGGTTTGATACCAGAGTGGGGAATACATGAGGCTCTTTTAAAGGTATAGACGTTCCCAAACTATCAGAGATCAAACTGCTTTCACTGGGAGCTGATCTGCTGGCCATTCAATACCAACACCATAAATTCATTCAGCTAACTGCCAATTTAAATTGTATTATTTAGAAACATAGTCTCACTATATATCATTATGGTGCCTCTACCCCTCTTTCCCCCCAGTGGCATTACTATACCAGGTTCCAATTTCAAAATCTCATACATCCTCTTCGATAGTCTAGAAGAATTAGAAAATGGCCATGTGATGGTGTTCATAGTACTTGATTTAATTGCCTTTTAATTTGTTCACTGAAATTGGTTCATTTATCACTGAACATTTTTTGGGAAGGGGTGTCTCAAAAACAAACATTTTCTAGAAATTTTAAGTTAATAATATATCATCACTTTTCTACCTGAGAAAACCTCCGTCCTGAAAACATACAAACTTACAAGTACATACTGGATAGAGTATTAGGGTTACGACTGCAGTCCATCTCTATGTGTCCAAAGGGTCTGTCACATGGGCTGGATCACCAAAAGATTTTTATTACCTTCCCATTAAGGAAATTATAGGTTTAGCAAACCAAACACTCACAAACCACTTTTGCAGTTAATTGCTTGGACTCACCAATTTCCCACACCGTCTGATGGAATAGCAACCACTGGAAATGCTAAACTTGTTCCCAGTGCCCCTCAGGAAGACCAAATCATTAAGGTCTGGAAGGTGTTTTTGTTTGGTTTGGTTTTGTTTTTCATTAAGTTGTTTGCAGCCATAAGGTCTGGTAGCTGGTGTTAAAATTCCTTCCCAGAGGAAGACATACATAAAATCTACCCCTCCCACTAAAGTCCCAACAACAAACTGGGGCATGAGTTCACCAGAGTTCTCTCTAGGGAGCCAATGAGTTTGCTGGGCATAGGTGAGGGATTGATTACCCATAGAGCGTGAGTGCTCCTGCCCCACAAGGCCACACCAGAAAGTCTCAGAGCCCCCTTCCCCTAATCTTCCCTGGTCTTTATTCTCTAGTCCCTCCCTTAGGCCATGTGCAATAGAGCAGAATTACATACAACAGGTGACTGGGGGTGGCTGGATACTCAGGCAAGGGTTCAGTGATCCCTCTATGATGTATGTAAACAGTCAACAAATCCAGCTGGGATGATCTTTGGCAAGTGGGCACAGCTAAACTCCAGAAGTTGATGTCTGGCTCAGAGGATAATCCTGCTTATTGTTGTAATGAATCAACTGCAACCCCAAACAATGTATCACATTCAAACTTGAGGAATGATACAACTTGAATGGGGGTGGGACACCCCCCCCCCCATCTACCTCCTGCATTTTGTGGAAGTGGAGGATAAATGTGATACTGTTCTCAGATATGGTGCATGCAGATCACTTTTTGGTTTGGGGGCTTTTTTTGGTGTTTGTTTATTTTTCAAGACTGGATTTCTCAGTAGCAATGGAGCCAGCTCTGTATACCAGACTGGCCTCGAACTCACAAAGATCCACCTGCCTCTGCCTTCTGAGTGCTGGGATTAAGAGCATGTGCCACCACTGTCTGATGCAGATCAATTTTTAATGAGAAAGGGTTACTTGTAGTGTAAGTAAACTAGAAAGCCAGATTCAGTTTGGAAGCAGATCTTTACCTACTGAGTGATATACTGATCAGGTACAAAAATGACAACTGATCAGTGTATGAAAAGATTTAAGCCTTGAGCAAA